AGAGCACTCCATGCAGTCATGCCATCCACATGACCTTAGTTACTTAGGCGATCCCTCGTTGTCCGAGTATAATGGCCTTCCAAGTGCAGTGTCTTGGCGGTGGATACGTAGGTGACTGTAGAGCCCTATTCTTGACCCGCGTGTTCTCCCGCAATGAGGACATCGTTTTCCAAGTGCAAGGCAGTCCCGGTAATGGTTGGCTTGACGCGCCTTCCTCTTGGCACGTTTCTCTCTTTCACCCTCCATTCGTGCCTCTTCAAATTCTACAGCACTGCTGGTCACAGCTGACCTCTAGTTAGAACACTCAAGGGCCAGGGCTTCCCAGTTATTGATGTCTCCACCACAGTTTTTAAGGTTGGCTTTAAGCTCATCTTTCAATCTCTTTTCCTGTCCACCAACATTACCTTTTCCGTTCTTGAGTTGGGAGTATAGTAACTGCTTTGGGAGATGGTGACTGAGCATTCAGACAATGGAGTTGATGGCGGAGGAGCATCGCTTCAGTGCTGGTGGTCTTTGCTTCTTCCAGCATGCTGACATTTGTCTGCCTGTCTTCCCAAGAGATTTGCAGAATTTTTTGGAGGCAGCGCTGGTGGAATCGTTCCAGGAGTTGCATGTGACGTCTGTAGACAGTCCACGTTTCACAGGTGTATAGCAGGGTTGGGAGGACAAGAGCTTTATAAACACCTTGGTATCCCTATGGATGTCTCAGTCCTCAAACACTCCCTGCTTCATTTGGAAAAATGCTGCACTCGCAGAGCTCAGGCGGTGTTGTATTTCAACACCAATGTTGACTTTTGTGGAGAGGTGGCTGCCAAGGCAGTGGGAATGGTCAACATTTTCTAATGTTACACCGTTAAGCTGTATTTCTGGCATTGGAGAGGGATTGGCTGGTGACTGCTGGAACAGCGCCTTGGTTTTCTCAACGTTCAATGACAGGCCGAGCTTCTTGTATGCTGCTGCAAAGGTGTTTCGGGTGATTGTAGGTTTCTTCTGAATGTGCAGACTATGTTATCATCAGCATATTGGAGTTCTATAATGGATGTTGTTGTGACCTTGGTTTTGGCTTTCAGTCGGCTGAGGTTAAATAGCTTGCCATCTGTCCGATAGATGATTTCCACTCTGGTGGGAAGCTTCCCATTTATTTATTTATTTACGACATTTATATCCTTCTCATCCTGAAGCGGACTCAGAGCGGCTTACAAGTTATATGTATATACAATATATTATATTAGTATAGCACAATATTAATATTATATATTACTATATTGTACTATACCACTATATTGTAATATTATAAGTAATATTACATGTAATGTGAAATATAAAATTATTATATTGTATTATTATTAGTATTATATTGTATTACATATTATCAATATTATATGTGTATACAATATATTATATTATTAGCATAGGACAATATTAGTATTATATATTACTATATTGTACTATATTACTATACTGTAATATTATTAGCAATATTACATGTAATATGAAATATAACATTATATCTTATTATTATTACTACTTTATTGTATTACATATTATCAATATTATATGTGTATACAATATATTATATTATTAGCATAGCACAATATTAGTATTATATATTACTAAATTGCACTATACTACTAAACTGTCATATTATTAGTAATATTACATGTAATATGAAATATAAATTTATTATATTGTATTATTATTAGTGTTATATTGTATTACACATTATCAATATTATATGTGTATACAATATAGTATATTATTAGCATAGCACAATATTAGTATTATATATTACTATATTGTACTATACCACTAAACTGTAATATTATTGGGTTGTTGTAGGTTTTTCGGGCTATATGGCCATGTTCTAGAGGCATTTTCTCCTGACGTTTCACCTGCATCTATGGCAAGCATCCTCAGAGGTAGTGAGGTCTGTTGGAATAGGAAAATGGGTTTAGATATCTGTAGAATGATGTCCAGGTGGAGCAAAGAACTCTTGTCTGTTGGAGCTAGGTGTGAATGTTTCAACTGACCACCTTGATTAGCATTTGATGGCCTGGCAGTGCCTGGGGCAATCTTTTGTTGAGAGGTGATTAGATGTCCCAGATTGTTTTCCCTCTGTTGTTTTATAATATCAAATATAAAATTATTATATTGTATTATTATTAGTATTATATCTAGAACATTGAAGTGACTGGACTGACCTTGAAGGAGCTGGGGGTGGTGACGGCTGACAGGGAGCTCTGGCGTGGGCTGGTCCATGAGGTCACGAAGAGTTGGAGGCGACTGAACGAATGAACAACAACATCTAGAACATGGCCTATAGCCCGAAAAAACCCACAAGAACCTAGTATTATATTGTATTAGATATTATCAATATTATATGTGTATACAATATATTATATTATTAGCATAGCACAATATTAGTATTATATATTACTATATTGTACTATATTACTATACTGTAATATTATTAGTAATATTACATGTAATATGAAATATAAATTATATTGTATTATTATTAGTATTGTATTGTATTAAATATTATCAATATTATATGTGTATACAATATAGTATATTATTAGCATAATAATAATCATAGTCTAATATTATTAGTAATATGAAATATAAAATTATTATATTGTATTATTATTATATTGTATTACATATTATCAATATTATATGTGTATACAATATATTATATTATTAGCATAGCACCATATTAGTATTATATATTACTTTATTGCACTATACCACTATACTCTAATATTATTAGTAATATGAAATATAAAATTATTATATTGTATTATTATTATTATTATTATGTATTACATATTATCAAAATTATATGTGTATACAATATATTATATTATTAGCACAGCACAATATTAGTATTATGTATTACTATATTTTTGCTGGGGGAGGGGCTCTTCGTGGTTTACTCGTTGCAATTCAGAACAACATATATACAATCATGTAATCGGTCGCATTAACTTATATAATGTCCTGTTAGAGGGATTTAAAATGGTCCTTTCTGTGTCCATGTGGGGAATCTTCCTCCAGCAGCTCCTGAAGGAAGAGCACACGCCAAACCTGTCTCTCTCTGCTTCTCTCCAAGCAGCTGCACAACTCAAGCCTGAAAAATGTAACAGTACCCAAAGGTCCCAGGCTCAGCCAGCTCCCCGGCATAGCCCCACCAACCAGCTTTGTGTATATTATTTTAGAGTTGACATACACACACTAATTGATTTCTTACATGCTCCAACAGAGAGCATTGCGATTCGCTGTGTCAAATGGCTTTACAAGGTCATAGAATCACTGAGTTGGAAAAGACCTCATGGGCCATCCAGTCCAACCCATTCTGCCAAGAAGCAGGAATATTCCATTCAAAGCGCCCCAACAGATGGCCATCCAGCTTCTGTTTAGAAGAGGGAAGGAAGTACGGAAGGATGAAAGGGTGGAAGGGAACCAGAGAATTGGAAGAGACCTCATGGGCCATCCAGTCCAACCCCATTCTGCCAAGAAGCAGGAAAATCACATTCAAAGCACCCCCAACAGATGGCCATCCAGCCTCTGCTTAAAAGCCTCCAAGGAAAGAACCTCCACCACACTCTGGGGCAGAGAATTCCACTGCTGAACAGCTCTCACAGTCAGGAAGCTCTTCCTCGTGTTCAGGTGGAATCTCCTTTCTTGTAGTTTGAAGCCATTGTTCCATTGCATCCTAGTCTCCCGGGCAGCAGTAAACAAGCTTGCTCCCTCTTCCCTATGACTTCTCACCTCTTTATCTATGGCCCTTATCAGGTCTCCTCACTTCTGCAGGGTAAACATGCCCAGCTCTTTAAGCCGCTCCTCATAGGACTTGTTCTCCAGACCTTTGATCATTTTAGTTGCCCTCCTCTGGACACATTCCAGCTTGTCAACATTTCCTTTCAATTGCGGTGCCCAGAATTGGACACAGCGTGATTCCAGGTAAAGTGGTCTATACTGTGATATTATTAGTAATATTATATGTAATATAAACTATAAAATTCACATATTTATACATGGCTATCATTTCTCCTCTTTGCCTGCAAACTACAGGAAAGGAGATTCCATCTGAACATTAGGAAGAACTTCCTGACTGTGAGAGCTGTTCAGCAGTGGAACTCTCTGCGCCAGAGTGTGGTGGAGGCTCCTTCTTAGGAGGCTTTTAAACAGAGGCTGGATGGCCATCTGTTGGGGGTGCTTTGAATACAATTTTCCTGTTTCTTGGCAGAATGGGGTTGGACTGGATGGCCCATGAGGTCTCTTCCAACTCTAGGATTCTATGAAATGCAGCAGTTAATTTTGCCTGAGGCTACTGGGAAGAACCTAAATCCGCCTCCTTTTCTTCCCTTCTTGGCAGGGGGTTGGACTGGATGACCCATGAGGTCTCTTCCAATTCTATGATTCTATTATTCTCTTCTACAGGCTAAGCATGCCCAGCTCTTTAAGCCGCTCCTCATAGGGCTTGTTCTCCAGACCTTTGAGTCTCCCTCCTCTGAGCACATTCCACCTTAGAGTCAACATCTCCCTTTAATTGAGCTGCCCAGAACTGGACACAGTGTGATTCCAGTTGTGGCCACTGCAAAAAGCATTTCACTGCCCTGGCTCAGGGTTCAGGGATCAAGGGAGTTGTAGTTTTGCAAGGTCTTACTCCTCCTTCGCCCAAGAATCATAGAACCAAAGAATTGGAAGAGACCTCATGGGCCATCCAGTCCAACCCCATTCTGCCAAGAAGCAGGAATATTGCATTCAAAGCACCCCTGACAGATGGCCATCCAGCCCCTGTTTAAAAGCTTCCAAAGAAGGAGCCTCCACCACATTCCGGGGCAGAGAGTTCCACTGCTGAACGGCTCTCACAGTCAGGAAGTTCTTCCTCGTGTTCAGATGGAAAGAGGGGCGGGGCACCCCCAAACTACAACTCCCAGGATTCCAAACCGGGCTCCAGAAGCCCTCTGCACATGCTCAGAAGCCCATATGCTGGAGCTCCGCCTCCATAGAGAAACGTCACCAAAAAACGGGTCAAAGGCAGCACCGGAAGCATAGTGGAGGCAGCTTGGGAAAGGTGAGTAGATTTGGATCCTATCTGGCTTTGTATGTGGCCATCTCTTCCTTTGCAAGCAGATTCGCCACAATGTTGCATTGGGTTCCCTTGCAAACAACTCAATGCAAAGAACCTGGGTTCCCATTGCATTGCAAGCCCAGGCCAGAAGGGAGGGGTGGAAACCCTGCTGATTGGGCTTGCTTTCCCCTTCAAAAGGCGCCTGTCTCTTTAAGAGGAGCAATGCTGCATATATAGCCTGCTTGTTTACTTTTTGCAAATCTGTTTGCCTGGCTGTTTTTTTTTTTACTCTTTCCCTTTTGCTGAAAGCAAGGTGGCACTTTCCCAACCTCTTGCCCTTTTCCTCATCTTGGACTTCAACTCCCAGAAGCCCAGAGCTAGGAACTCTGGGAGTTGGAGTCCAAAACTTGGAACAGCAAAGTTTGGCAACACACTGCCTTTGCTCTTCCTCTTAAGGTGCATCTCCACCAAACTTGGGCCCTCCAGGTGTTTTGGACTTCAACTCCCACAATTCCTAACAGGGTTAGGAAGAGAGGAGATTCCATCTGAACATGAAGAAGAACTTCCTGACTGTGAGAGCCGTTCAGCAGTGGAACTCTCTGCCCCAGAGTGTGGTGGAGGCTCCTTCATTGGAAGCTTTTAAACAGGCTGGATGGCCATCAGTCAGGGGTGATTTGAATGCAATATTCCTGCTTCTTGGCAGAATTGGGTTGGACTGGATGGCCCATGAGGTCTCTTCCAACTCTTTGTATACAATATATTATTAGCATAGCACAATATTAGTATTATATATTACTATATTGTACTATACCACTATATTGTAATATTATAAGTATTTTATAGGTATATAAAATAAAACAAAACAAACAAAGGCCCTTCCTACACAGCCAAATAAAACCCAGATTATCCGCTTTGAACTGGAATATATGGCAGTGTAAATAAAAGTAAAAGTTTTCCCCTTGACATTAAGTCTAGTCGAGTCCGACTCTGGGGGGTATTGCTTATCTAAATTTCTAAGCCAAAGAGTCGGCGTTGTCCATAGACACCTCCAAAGTCATGTGGCCAGCATGACGGCATGGAATGTCATTGCCTTTCCACAGAAGTACTGCCTATTCATCAACTCACATTTGCATGTTTTTGAACTGTTCGATTGGCAGAAGCTGGGGCTAACAGTGGGAGCTCACCCCACTCCCAGATTTTCAGCCATTACTCTGTGAATGCGTCCTTCCATAGCCAGGATTTCACCAGCCTCCTGAAGGACAGGAGGGAGGGGGCAGATCTGATCTCAATCGGGAGAGAGTTCCATAGCCGAGGGGCCACCACAGAAAAGGCCCTGTCTCTCGTTCCCGCCAGACGCAATTGCGAAAGTGGTGGGACTGAGAGCAGGGCACCACCAGAAGATCTTAATAGTCTTGATGATTCATAGGGGAGAATACGTTCCAATAGGTAAACCATGATCTATATAAATAAAAATGTAATGTTTGTTTGTGGGATTAACAGAACTCAAAAACCACTGGACAAATGGACACCAAATTTGTACACAAGACACCTAACAACCCAATGTATGTCCTTCATTCAAAAAAAATGATTTTGTCATTTGGGAGTTGTAGTTGCTGGGATTTATAGTTCACCTACAATCAAAGAACATTCTGAACCCCACCAACGATGGAATTGAACCAAACTTGGCACACGGTCCTGCCATGACCAACAGAAAATACTGGAAGGTTTGGTGGGCAGTGTCCTTTGGTTTTGGAGTTGTAGTTCACCCACATCCAAAGATGACTGTGGACTCAAACAATGATGGATCTGGACCAAACTCTACACGAATACTCAGTATGCCCAAATGTGAACACTGATGGAGTTTGGGGGAAATAGAACCTTGACATTTGGGAGTTGTAGTTGCTGGGATTTATAGTTCATCTACAATCACAGAGCATTCCGAACCCCACCAATGATGGAATTGGGCCAAACCTCCCACACAGAACCCACACGACCAACAGAAAATACTGCGTTTTCTGGTGGTCTTGGGTGACCCTTCTGACACCCCCCTGGTGACCCCTCTTCTGGGGTCTTGACTTTCCAGGTTCAGAAAGGGACCCCTAAAGAAGGCCAATGATATGTTGCCTGTTCCAGAGTAGGCAAACCAGACGATCTCCACATCAACGCTGGCAAAGAAACAGCAAGAAATACTGTTTACCCAGAAGCAGAAAGAAAATGACATATATTAGAAACCAACACTTTCTCATTACTTTATTTTCCAGATCACCAGACTGGGCCACAGCAAGGCCTGGCAGGGGACCGCTAGTTTCTAATAAAACTAATAGTTTTCTAATAAAACTATTCTAGGACCATGGCGTCAGACTCCATCCTGGCGTCGAAGCAGGCGGAGGAGGTGGTCCAGGGCGTCCCAACGCAGGTGGTCTGCACGGCCTTTGGGAACACGATCCTGGTGGTGGTGACCCAATACGGGAAGATGGGGACCCTCGTCTCGGTGGAGCCCAGCGTCATGGCGGACAACCTCAGCCGGCCCCTGCTCACCACCAAAGTCCTGCTCGGCAAAGATGAGGTATCGCTCCCTTAAAGTTCCATCTAACCCAGTGGTTTTCCTGCCCCTGCTCCACCTAGGCATCTCTAAACATCCTGATGCCCGCCTTCCCTTCATGATATGTAATACAACTAGCTGTCCACTGTCACACATTGCTGTGGCCCAGTCTGTTCATATCTGTTTTGTGTGTATATGTGGGTGTATATATCTGTATATATGTGAATATATGTGGTTTAGCACATGCTTTGTAAAAAAATTTTTTGCCTTTTTAAGCCCCTTCTGCTGTGTTTTTCAGTGTTTTTATGAGTGATTGTCATAAAAATAGGCTGAATGATCATCTGTCAGGAGTGCTTTGATTGTGCTTTTCCTTTATGACAGAAGGGGGTTGGACTGGGTGGCATTTGTGGGTCCCTTCCAACTCTGGAATCTTATTATTATTATTATTATTATTATTATTATTATTATTATTATTATTATTATTAAGCAGAGGCTGAATGGCCATCTGTCAGGAGTATTTTGATTGTGCTTTTCCCTTATGGTTGGACTGGATGGCCTTTGGGGCTCCCTTCCAACTTTAGGATGTTGTTGTTGTTGTTGTTGTTGTTGTTGTTGTTACGCAGAGGCTGAATGGCCATCTGTCAGGAGTGCTTTGATTGTGCTTTTCCTTTATGACAGAAGGGGGTTGGACTGGATGGCATTTGTGGGTCCCTTCCAACTCTAGGATCCTATTATTATTAATATTATTATTATTAAACAGAGGCTGAATGGCCATCTGTCAAGAGTGCTTTGATTGTGCTTTTCTCTTATGGCAGAAGGGAGTCTCTTCCAACTCTAGGATCCTATTATTATTACTAGCTGTACCCGCCACGCGTTGCTGTGGCCAATCTTCCTCTTTCTCACCTTCCTTTCCTCTTTTTCTTTTCCTTCTTCTTTCTTCCTTCTCTACCTGTGTCTTTCTTTCCTTCCTTTGCTCTTTGATTCCATCCTTCTCTCTCATTTCTTCCTTATTTCACTTTTTTTATTTCCTTCTCTCCTTCCTTCTCTACTTTTCTTTCCTTCTCTCCTTCCCTTCTTCTTTCCCTCTTTTTCTCCCTCCTTTTCTCCTTCTTTCTCCCTTTCTGTGTATATGTGTATTGTGTGTGTATATATGCATATATGTGCATGTATATATTTGGGTATATATGTGTGTTTGTGTATATTCTATGTATGTGTTTTGTGTGTGTATATATGCATACATGTGTGTGTATATATTTGTGTATATGAGTATATATGTGTCTTCATGTATATTCTGTGTATATGTGTTTTGTGTGTGTATGTATGCGTATATGTGTGTGTATATATTTGTGTTTGTGTATATATGTGGTTTTGCGCATGCATTGTAATGTTTTTTTTTTTGGCTTTTCAAGTCTCCTCTGCTGTGTTTTTCTGTGTTTTTATGAGTGATGGTCACTTGTTGGCCTGAAAGGTGCAGTGTGTCCAAATTCGGTGTCAATTCATCCAGTGGTTTTTGAGTTATGTTAATCCCACAAACGAACATTACATTTTTATTTATATAGATTATTATTATTATTATTGTTGTTGTTGTTATTAAGCAGAGGCTGAATGGCCATCTGTCAGGAATGCTTTGATTGTACTTTTCCTTTATGGCAGAAGGGGGTTGGACTGGATGGCATTTGGGGGTCCCTTCCAACTCTAGGATCCTATTATTATTATTATTATTATTATTATTAAGCAGAGGCTGAATGGCCATCTGTCAGGAGTGCTTTGACTATGCCTTTCCTGCATGAAGGCAGAAGGGCGTTGGACTGGATGGATCTTGAAGGCCTCTTCCTACCCTAGAATCCTATTATTATTATTATTATTATTATTATTATTATTATTAAGCAGAGGCTGAATGGCCATCTGTCAGGAGTGCTTTGATTGTGCCTTTCCTGCATGAAGGCAGAAGGCGGCTGGACTGGATGGCCCTTGGAGGTCTCTTCCTACTCTAGAATCCTATTATTATTATTATTATTATTATTATTATTATTATTATCATTAAGCAGAGACTAAGTGGCCATCTGTCAGGAGTGCTTTGACTGTGCCTGCATAAAGGCAGAAGGGAGTTGGATTGGATGGACCTTGGAGGTCTCTTCCTACTGTAGAATCCTATTATTATTATTAAGCAGAGACTAAGTGGCCATCTGTCAGGAGTGCTTTGACTGTGCCTTTCCTGCATGAAGGCAGAAGGGGGTTGGACTGGATGGACCTTGAACGTCTCTTCCTACTCTAGAATCCTATTATTATTATTATTATTATTATTATTATTATTATTATTATTATTAAGCAGAGACTAAGTGGCCATCTGTCAGGAGTGCTTTGATTGTGCTTTTCCTGCATGAAGACAGAAGGGGGTTGGACTGGACGGACCTTGGAGGTCTCTTCCTACTCTAGAATCCTGTCGTTATTATTATTATTATTATTATTATTATTATTATTATGAAGCAGAGGTTGAAAGACCATCTGTTGCGGGTGCTTTGATTGTGCTTTTCCTGCATGAAGGCAGAAGGGGGTTGGACTGGATGGCCCTTGGAGGTCTCTTCCTACTCTAGAATCCTATTACTATTACATCTTCCTTTCACGTCTACTCTGTTTACTTCCAGCCTCTGGTCCACATCTGTGCCAAACATCTGGTGTCCTCGGTGTCTCAAGAAGCCGGGAATAAGCCCATTCTGCTAGCCATGGCCTTGAAGGATAAGAGCATCGAAGGAGTCCAAACCCTCCAAGAGGTGATTAGTCGATGCCGGGTGTGGTGAGACCCGAAACTCCACCCTGAAAGACTTTCTCCCTTTGGGAATAGACCTATACATACAACCTTTGCAACCAACCTCTGCTCTTGGACTCATCTTCACCCTGTAGTAACATTTTTATTTTTATTATTTTACTATTATTTTAGACATTTTTTTAAAAAAAATGAGATGCTAGGACACAAAAACACCTGGGCGAAACTGGAATACTACAGGTTTTGAAACCACAATTAGCCTGTAATGGAATAAAGGACTTTGCAAAATCTCCATTCTGAATTTCTTGTATTGTCATCGTCTCCGACTTAAGTATGGACGCTGGGTATTTATTGAATACATATGAAATTAATGTATATCTCGCCTTTTTCCTTGTCTAGGATCCTGAAATAGTTGAGATGACCTCTGAATAGAATAGAATAACGTTATTGTTTAGATTAGAGAGATGGGCCAAAACTAACAAAATGAAGTTCAACAGTGACAAATGCAAGATACTCCACTTTGGCAGAAAAAAGAAATGCAAAGATACAGAATGGGGGACACCTGGCTCGAGAGCAGTACGTGTGAAAAAGATCTTGGAGTCCTCGTGGACAACAAGTTAAACATGAGCCAACAATGTGATGTGGCGGCAAAAAAAGCCAATGGGATTTTGGCCTGCCTCAAGAGGAGCATAGTGTCTAGATCTAGGGAAGTAATGCTACCCCTCTATTCTGCTTTGGTTAGACCACATCTCGAATATTGTGTCCAATTCTGGGCACCACAATTCAAGAGAGATATTGACAAGCTGGAATGTGTCCAGAGGAGGCGACTAAAATGATCAAGGGTCTGGAGAACAAGCCCTATGAGGAGCGGCTTAAGGAGCTGGGCATGTTTAGCCTGAAGAAGAGAAGGCTGAGAGGAGATATGATAGCCATGTATAAATATGTGAGAGGAAGCCACAGGGAGGAGGAGGGAGCAAGCTTGTTTTCTGCTTCCCTGGAGACTAGGACGCAATGGAACAATGGCTTCAAACTACAAGAGAGGAGATTCCATCTGAACATGAGGAAGAACTTCCTGACTGTGAGAGCCGTTCAGCCGTGGAACTCTCTGCCCCGGAGTGTGGTGGAGGCTCCTTCTTTGGAAGCTTTTAAACAGAGGCTGGATGGCCATCTGTCAGGGGTGATTTGAATGCAATATTCCTGCTTCTTGGCAGAATGGGGTTGGACTGGATGGCCCATGAGGTCTCTTCCAACTCTTTGATTCTATGATTCTATGATTGTCATTCTACATCATGCAACAAAATTAAATTCGATCCTCAATTTATTTATTTACAGTATTTATATTCCGCCCTTCTCATCCCGAAGGGGACTCAAAGCAGATCACAAAACACATATAGGGCAAACATTCAATGTCATGATACACTGACAAGACAGATAATTGTACATAGAAATAAATTATTATTATTATTATTATTATTATTATTATTATTATTAACTAGCTGTCCCCTGCCACGCATTGCTGTGGCCCACATGGAGGTTCTGTGTGGGAGGTTTGGTCCAATTCTATCGTTGGTGGGGTTCAGAATGCTCTGTGATTGTAGGTGAACTATAAATCCCAGCAACTACAACTCTCAAATGTCAAGATTCTTTTCCCCCAAACTCCACCAGTGTTCGCATTTGGACATATTGAGTATTCGTGTAGAATTGAGTCCAGATCCATCATTGTTTTGAGTCCCCAGTGATCTCTGGATGTAGGTGAACTACAACTCCAAAACCAAAGGACACTGCCCACGAAACCCTTCCAGTATTCTCTGTTGGTCATGGGAGAACTGTGTGCCAAGTTTGGTTCAATTCCATCGTTGGTGGGGTACAGAATGCTCTTTGATTGTAGGTGAACTATAAATCCCAGCAACTACAACTCCAAAATGGCAAAATCAATTTTTTGAGTGTAGGACATACATTGGGTTGTCAGGTGTCTTGTGTCCAAATTTGGTGTCAATTCGTCCAGTGGTTTTTGAGTTCTGTTAATATCACAAACGAACATTTTTATTTATATAGATAGAGGTGTATATATAGGCTTTCCCATCTTTGACATCTTGGAGGCCGTGCTCGAGTCTGTCCTCTAGGGGGAGCTGTCACCGCATCTGCTTTGTTTGTAAACTTCTCCCTTGTTCAAATTGCCGGCATTTTTCTGGTTCAAATTGCCGGCATTTTTCTACCTTCCCACCGGAGCAGTACCTATTGATCTACTTACATTTGCACATTTTTGAACTGCTAGGTTGGCAGAAGCTGGGGCTGACAGCGGAAGCTCATGCCGCTCCCCAGATTCAAACCTGTGACCTTTCGATAATATGCTAATAATATAATATATTGTATGTACATATAACTTATAAGCCGTTCTGAGTCTCCTTTGGGATGAGAAGGGCGGGATATAAATGTTGTAAATAAATAAATACATACATGAAATACCACCCCACTTAAGTGACACCTATTGATCTACTCACATTGCTGTTTTTGAAACTTCAAGGTAGGCAGAAGCTGGGCTAAAGGCCAGGAGCTCCCCCTGACATGGGCTTTAAATTGTTAACTTTTTGGTTGGCAAGATTTACTGCAGCTGGTGGTTAACGTTTTGTGCTAAAGCCCGGCCCAATCACTATATATATATATATATATATATAGACACACACACACACACATTACAAAACAAAGCACCCATCCTTCCTCATTCTAATCGCTATCGCACAACTTCTAATGTCTCTGCAGAGAGGCACGTCGCAATGGTATGGCTATTGTGCTGGTACGGCTGTACCAGGAGCTCCATATTTATTTGCTTTGCATTGAATGTTTGTTTGTAGTCCTAGGTTTCAGGGACTCTGCAGATAAGTGGCTTCCTTTGGTTGCAGTCATAGGGCAAGTCACCTGTCCATCATCGTTAAGTTTTGGTTCCGCCCCTTGCTCAGGGCAATTGGGAAGGGAGCCATTTTTTAGTTAGTCTCAGCAAGGAAAGCTAATGTACAGGACGTGTGCAAGCTTCCCCTGTACAAAAGCTTCAACTCTTAAGACTTTCCCGGGGGCAACAGTCTTAAGAGCATCAAGACTTTCTGGGGGAAAACAGTCTTAAGAGCATCAAGACTTTCCAGGGGGAAATAGTCTTAAGAGTCTCCAAAGATTTCCAGGAAAACAGTCCTAAAGACCAAAGAACTCCAGCTGGAGAATATCTAAGCCTTTACTGGTAGGTCCACTCGGTGCTTCGAGATGCAGTTCGACCCGGTAGTGGAGCCCAGCCCACATCAGTAAGTGTAGATTACAGTCAGCCTGGGAGAAGTTAAAAAGGGGACTTTCCTTTAAAGTAAAGAAGAAGTTATTGAAGTCAGTTGCCTGTCCTTCGTGGGCAAGATTAGGAAGTCACCAGTTGCATAAAGCTTGGAAGCATTTGTTTAGCTTTATTGAAGACAAGAGAAGTTTCTGTTTGATTGTTCATTGATAAAGGACTTTGTTGTACTTCACAAGCCATCTAAAGACCATTTGTGGTGGAAAACCTCTGAGAACTTCTCCTTGGGCCCCCTGGCTTCCCGCTGGGCAAAGGTTGCACGTCTTGTTCTAAAGGAAATTTTTTACAGGCCCAGCGCACAACAGAACAGCTATTGTATTTTTATCTCAACGTAATATTATGGCTTTACCGAAGTTTGCAAAGATTCCGTTTTAGCAATCCCTAGAATTTCCCAGCCTTGTTTTCTTGTGAAGGTTTGCCCTTACTTCTTTCTGAGGATGAGAGAGTGTGACTTGACTCCAGTTGCAGAGCGGGGATTCAAACCCTGGTCTCCCAGAGTCTTAATCCAGTGCTCAAACACAAGTTGGCTTATGATTCCAATTTATATCAACCCTTTCCTATGATGGTCTTGGACAGATTGGTTCGGAGGAAGCCTGTCCTGTCTGAGAGAGTGTGACTTACCCAAAGCCAGCAATTTCCAAAACTGAGCAAGGATTCGAACCTTGGCTTCTGACAGTTCTAGAGTTGTGTTCAGTTACTTGGATTGAAACAAGATTGGGTTGACTTCTCTACTGGTAATTCCCTTATTAATGTCCTCCATTGAAGATTAAAGCTTCTAATTTGCTTGGAAGATGTGTCCGTCATACTTTACGATGTCAGACCCATCTCCTTTCCCTCCTCCTAAGATGGCAGAGGCACTGAAACCTTGGCAACACCTTTTTCAGCAGCTGCTGCGCCCAGGTGCAGTCGATTAAAGCCGTGTTTTATAGCACCGCTGCAGTAAGTTACAAATTGGACAAGTGATTGCCAGGGAGAAATTATTGGGTACCTAAGCGTCCATCACCGGCTCCTCGTCGCCTCATAATTTACAAGGAGACGCGTTTGAGACATAAAACAGCCTCATCGATCTGACAGTCGGCTGCAAAGCCATCTATCACCTTCCTAGGCCTTTGGATGGGGAGAATGGTAATGAACCTCAAAGGCAGAGAAGAAACATCATCAAAGGATCAGGAACAAAAGTGTGTTGTGGGGAGGGACTCCTGGGCCCAGAGAAGGGCAACAAAGGTGGCCAAAGGTCTGGAAATCAAGCTTGGTGAGAGCTGGGTATAGTTCGCTCGGAGATGAGAAGACTGAGAGGTGACATGATAAATATCTGAAGGTATGGATTGTAGGAGGTGCAGCCGACTTTTCTAAAACTAGGATACAAACCAACAAATTGTATGACAACAAAGTCCACCTAAATATTAGGAAGAACATTGACTTTCAGTGATGGACTGCTGTTGAAGTTGGCGACTTCGCCATCTTTGAACAGATTGGATGGCCATCTTTCAGGAGTGCTTTAGTTGTGTATTTCTGCGTGCTAAAAGGGTTGGACTAGATGGCCCTTGGGGTCCCTTTCATCTCTTGAGATTCTAAAATTTGAAGTTAATAGGCCACTTCATATCTTGCATGCAAGCACAAGGAATGTGTTTTGGTTTACGAAAAGGTCTACTAACAGAATGGTCACATGTATATATTACTGAATGTAGGTGCTAGACCAGTGGTTCTCAACCTTGGGTCCCCAGATTTTTTGGCCTACAACTCCCAGAAACCCCAGTCAATTTACCAGCTGTTAGGATTTCTGGGAGTTGAAGGCCAAAAACATCTGGGGACCCCAGGTTGAGAACCACTGTGCTAGACCAATAGTTTCCAACCTTTAGTCCTCCAGGTGTTTTGGACTTCCCACAATTCCTAGCAGCTGGTGAACTGGCAGGGATTTATGGGAATTGAAGTCCAAAACACCTGGAGAACCAAAGGTTGAAAACTACTCTGCTAGACAAAGAGTTCAAGGTGAACCTATCAGGGAGGTCTCTTGGCCAGATTTCTTCAGAAGAGGTTTGCTATTGTCTTCCTCTGAGGCTGAGAGAGTGCAGCTTCCCAAAGTCACCCAATAAGTCTCTTGGGTTGAATTGCGATTTTAAATTTGCTCTCCCGGTGTCCAAGGGAGCATATACACCAGTGCTTCCCAACCTTTTTTTTGACCAGGGACCACTTTGACCATGGCCCACTTTGACCAGGGACCACTCTCCAACATAAGTACCAAAAGGGCTACGAATCAGTTTTTGGTCAACTTTTGGAGTGCTGATTCAGAAAATTGCATTGGATAGACCACATCAGCTCTAGTTTCTGGTACAGAGCATATGCCATGTTCAGTGATAGGGAAGGAGTGACAGCAGGTGCAAAAGGAGTGGAAATAAAACAAATAAATAAAGTGAAAGAAGGCTCGCAAACTAGATTCCTTGCAGCCCACTGGTGGTTTGTGGCCCACAGGTTAAGAACCTCTGATCTACACTGAAGAATTAATGTAGTTGGCCTTCACTTTGGCTCCTAGTAATAACAAGGTCTTTAGCTTATTCTGCCAAAGAATGCTGTGGACACACCAAACTACATCTCCCAGGATTCCACAGCAGTTCAAGTGGTCTCAAACTGCATTAATTCAACAGTAGATACACTCAAATTAAAGCAGTATGCCACGTTAGCCCTCTTTCCTTAGGACAGCTTTCCTCAATCTGTTACAGTGGTTCCCAACCTTTGGGCTTCCAGGTGCTTTAACTCCCAGAAATCCCAGCCAGCTTACCAGCTGTTAGGAACGATAGGAGCGGAAGTCCAAAACACCTGGAGACCCAAAGGTTGGGAACCACTGGTCTAGTACATCTCCAAATACATTGAAGTATTGCTCCATCATCCATAGCTATCCAGGATATCTGGATGGGCAAAAGGTAAGGAAACTGACTTCAAAAATATGCTTCCAAGTAAACTTGCCTTCTTTGAGTTTTGTCCGGCAAGATATCTGGACAGGCAACAGGTTAGGAAACGGGCTTCAGGATTATTTTTTTCAAAATGTCTGACCAGAATTATCCAGCAAGTTATCCGGATGGGCAACAGTTTAAGAAACTGGCTGGGCGGGAGGGGGGGGGGTTGTGAGGAGTTTCAGAGGGGTCACCAAAAATGGTCTTAGGAACCCCTTTGGCAGAGAAGGCTAAAGATCGCTCCGCCTCTCCTTCTTTTCCTTTTTGGAAACAGAAGGTGAATTCTCCTACCCAAAGCCCCCCTCCACTGTGATTGGTCAGCCTCTCAACCAGGGGAGGGGGCTGTTTCTGAGACTTCAAGTGGAGAGGGGAGAGCAGGCATGCTTGGCATGGCAGAGTGGTGCACATGTGTGGGTGAGGGAGAGTGCATGAGGCTGAGGGAGGCTTGCACCAAGGAGTCCCTTCAAGGCATGGGCGTTCTGAGTGGGAAATTTGGTCCGATTCTTTAGTTGGTGGGGTCCAGAATGCTCTTTGATTGTAGGTGAACTATAAATCCCAGCAACTACAACTCCCAAATGTCAAGATCTATTTCCCCCAAACTCCCAACAGTATTCACATTAGGGCCTATTGAGTATTTGTACCAATACTCTGGACTATTGAGTATTCAGTACAGATCCATCATATGCAGAACACATCTTGCGAGGATGTGCGGGGCTTGATGAATGCAAAGCTGGGGTTAAAATTGCTGGAAGAAACATTAACAACCTCAGATATGCAGATGACACCACTCTGATGGCCGAAAGCGAGGAGGAGCCGAGGAGCCTTCTAATCAAGGTGAAAGAAGAAAGCGCAAAAGCTGGGTTGCAGCTAAACATAAAAAAACCCCAAGAATATGACAACAAGAATGACTGACAACTGGAAAATAGAGAAAATGTGGAGGCCGTGACAGACTTTGTATTTCTAGGTGCAAAGATTACTGCAGATGCAGACTGTGGCCAGGAAATCAGAAGACGCTTACTTCTTGGGAGGAGAGCAATGTCCAAACTCGATAAAATAGTAAAGAGTAGAGACATCACACTGGCAACCAAGATCCATTGCCTAGTCAAAGCCATGGTATTCCCTGTAGTCACCTACGGATGTGAGAGCTGGACCTTAGGGAAGGCTGAGCGAAGGAAGATTGATGCTTTTGAACTGTGGTGTTGGAGGAAAGCTCTGAGAGTGCCTTGGACTGCGAGAAGGTCCAACCAATCCATCCGCCAGGAAATAAAGCCGGACTGCTCATTGGAGGGAAGGAGACTAGAGACAAAGTTGAAGTACTTTGGCCACATCATGAGGAGACAGCAAAGCCTAGAGAAGACAATTATGCTGGGGAAAGTGGAAGGTAAAAGGAAGAGGGGCCGACCAAGGGCAAGACGGATGGATGGCATCCTTGAAGTGACTGGACTGACCTTGAAGGAGCTGGGGGTGGTGACGGCCGACAGGGAGCTCTGGTGTGGGCTGGTCCATGAGATCACGAAGAGTTGGAGACGACTGAACGAATGAACAACAACCATAATTGTTTGAGTCCACAGTGCTCTTTGGATGTAGGTGGACTACAACTACAAAACACAAGGTTCCAGTATTTTCTGTTGGTCTTGGGAGTCCTGTGTGCCAAGTTCGGTTCAATTCCATCGTTGGTGGAGTTCAGAATGCTCTTTGATTGTAGGTGAACTATAAATCCAAGCAACTACAACTCCCAAACAACAAAATCAATCCCCTCCAACCACACCGGTATTCAAATTTGGGTGTATAGGGTATTTCTCCCAAATTTGGTCCCGCGAATGAAAATACATCCTGCATATCAAATGGTACAATTCATAGCAAAATTACAGTTATGAAGTAGAAATGAAAATAATGTTGTGGTTGGGGGTCACCACAACATGAGGCACTTATTTATTTATCATGTCAGGAGCGAAGCAAAACAGTTGTATTACATTAAAAACATGAGGAACTGCATGAAAAGGTCACTGGTATTATTAGGAAGGTTGAGAAACACTGCTCTAAACAGTAAGCTTGCTTTGGAGTGCTGTCCAAGAAGACATCTGGATGGTCAACAGGCTAGGAAACTGGCTTCGGGAGTTGGATTCCTAACCTCTGTCCAGAGTAACCCAGCCAGATCTGTAGATACTAGATAGGCAACAGGTTGGGAAACTGGCTCCGGAAGTTTTCTAGGAGGCCAAGCTTCCTCCTTGGAGTGCTGTCCAGAGGAATGAAGTGCTGCTGGCATGGAAATCCGTCCACTGTCAACAAACAAGCTCGTCCAAGGCTGCCTCCTGTCAATCTGGATTGTCCTGAATGTCGAGTCTGTTGGACGCCCTGCAGCGCCGGAGTCGGGCTCTTCTTCTTCTCTGGAAAGGCCTTTTCCGCTGAGACTGTGGCTAAGCCAAGGCCACGGAGGCCGGGGAAGGTGGAGCCTCCGGGGGAAGGAAGGCAGGCAGGCAGGCAGGCATCCAGGTGGAGGTGCGGCCGGGGGAGGGCTCTCTGGGGCCGGCGAGAGGAGGAGGAAGCGAGCCCAGCGCCACCACACTTCCTGGAGCCGTGCGCCCTTGGAGCGCCTCTCGCCGGCGCCTTCCTCAGGTGGGTCCACGCGGGAATAGAGGTCTTGAGGGACGCGGGAGGGCCGAACCCGTGGATCCGGCGACAAGGAGCCAAGGTACGACTTGAGAACAGCCCTTCCCGTGGGCGCTGGAGAGAAGGAAAGAGCGAGGCGCAAACGGTGCGTTTTTACGCACAGAACTTTTTTACAGCATCCTTGCTGTGCCTCCTGGAAAGGTCCCTTCTTCCCCAACACCACCCAGAGTGTCAGGCAGAGCCCACGGGATCCACAGCCAGGCTGGGGTGGGAGGAAAAGGGAAATGAAACCCAGGAAATAAGCCCTGGAAGTTCACATACTTTTGGAGAGTTTGGACTCCCACCCAATGCGCCCTGGAGAGGTCTGGAAGGTTTTCAAATCCTGGGAGGAACTGGGAGGCTTTCCTCTCCTTTGGTTTTGTTTGTTTTCTAGGTAGAATGCCTTACTCCTTTCCTTCGGCCCTCCCTTATAGATTTAGATTGGGAAATCGACTTTACAGACTGCAGGAAATAAGTGTTGACAGTTTGGACTTGCCTTGGAGATGTCTAGGAAGTGTTGGGATCCCCTAAGACTGACTGGAAGAGTTTCTTTGGGGTTTTATTTGTTTTCTAGGTAGGAAACCATACACTTTCCCATCTATACTCCTTTACATATGTTTACAGAGCTTAAGGAAATAGTTTTAAAGGGATTTCGGGTCCTAGAACAGTGTTTCTCAACCTTCCCAATGCTGCGACCCCTTAATCCAGTTGCTCATGTTGTGGTGACCCCCAACCATAAAATTATTTTTGTTGCTACTTCAAAACTGTAATGTTGCTACTGTTAGGAATCATAATGTAAATATCTGATATGCAGGAGGGTGTATTTTCATTCACTGGACCAAATTTGGCACAAATACCCTATATGCCCAAATTTGGATACTGGTGGGGTTTGGGGAAAATAGACCTTGACATTTGGGAGTTGTAGTTGCTGGGATCTATAGTCACCAATGATAGCATTCTGAACCCCACCAATGATAGAATTTGGCCAAACTGCCGACTCAGGACACCCATGCCTTGAAGACACTCACTGGCATCCCTCCAGCTTCACATACTCTCCCTCACCCACGCATGTACATCACACTGCCATGCACTGAGCATGCCTGCTCTCCCCTCCCCACTTGGAGTCTCAGAAACAGCCCCCCCCCCCTTGGCTGAGAAGCCAGCCAATCACAGTGGAGGAGGGCTTTTGGTGGGAGGATTCACCATCTGATTCCAAAAAAGAAGAGAAGGATAGGCAAAGAGATTGGCCCATGCCTGGCTTATCTCCTCTTCTGGAGGTCTTTAAGCAGAAGATGGATGGCCATCTGTCGGGAGTGCTTTGATTGTGTTTCCTCCCTTGCAGGGGGTTGGACTGGATGGCCCATGGGTCTCTTCCGACGCTAGCATCTCATTCTGGATATATATGTTTGGTTTTTATTGTTTTGATAACTTCTTTTGTGGTTTTATACTGTTTTAATGTTTAATTTGTATTTTGTTGTTCTGTGTACTGAGTTGTTGTAAACCGCCTTGAGTCGCCGATAAGGCTGAGAAAGGCGGTATACAAGTATGGTAAATAAATAAATCTTCAGCCTTCTCTGCCAAAGGGGTTCCTAAGAACATCAGAAATATATGTTTTCTTGTGGTCTTTGGTGACCCCTCTGAAACCCCCTAGCGACCACCCCATAGGAGTCCCAACCCTCAGGTTGAGAAACAGTAGCTCTGCTTAGAAACTTACTTGAGTGTTCCTTCCAGACAGAACTGGGAATGTGTCTTCATTTTGGTTAGGGTGATGTTGGAACAATGACTCCTACTCCTGTTAGTTCTTCTTCCTCTTCTTCCTCCCCCTCTTCTTCTTCTTTCTCCTTCTTTCTTTTATCTCTTTGATTGAGACATAATGCAGAATGTATGTTTGGGAACTTAATAGTCCCCAAAAGCAATGTTTCCGAGCACCCTATTTTTTCACTCCCACGGAGCCCTACCTCTTTGTTGTCCCTAATGCCTTTCTCTGTCCACCTAGAACCCATTTCCTCAGAGAAGATGGGTTTGACTTGCTAGATGCCCAGAAAATCCTTGTATGTGTTTTTAACATCTTATAACAGATATTCTCCCGAAAGAACCAACTTTTAGATGCCTCAGCTTAGGGAGTTTTCGAGTGTGTGTTTCTATGTGTGTGTGTTTCTATGTGTGTGTGTGTGTGTTTATTTAAATCATTGCATAAGTGCCTAGTTTTAATCTATTTTGGAGAAGTCAAGGAGGAAGTGCACTATGCAAACAAAACATAAAAGCTGTTCTTATTATCTTTTTAGAGTTGTAATGTGAGCAGAACCCGGGGCTCAGGAAAGGTAAGCACATTAATTTTATCTTATGAGTGCCGCAGTTTCACTGTTCTGGTGGTTTGATGGGTTTAATATGTTTGCTGCATTTTAACCCTTCTGGGTTGCCAGTGAGAATTAGCTTTTTGAAATATTAAAGCCAACACATTACATTTTGGATTCTATTGGTTAGTCCTTATGAGAGTAGACGATGAATCAATTGTTGGGTCAACATGTAGGAAAGCATCATTGATTTGAGGCCTGTACAACCTGTGGCCCTCCATGTGTTTCAGTCTCCAACTTCCAGAAACCCTAGCCAACTTGTTCAATGGCCAGGAATTCTGGGAGTTGGCAGCCAAAACAGCTGGAGGACCTCAGGTTGTCCAAGCCTGATTTAGGGTCTAGTCAAGGCTACCACTAGAATTTAGGCCATAAATTATTCAGTGAGTTGGCCTTGAGTTAAAAATGTGTGGCTGCTGTTCAGTACTTATAGAATCATAGAGTTGAAAGAGACCTCATGGGCCATCCAGTCCAACCCCATTTTGCCAAGAAACAGGAAAATCTCATGTAAAGCACCCCCTATAGATGGCCATCCAGCCTGTTGAAAAGCCTCCAAAGAAGGCGCCTCCACCACACTCCAAGGCAGAGAGAGAGAGAGAGAGAGTTCCACTGCTGAACAACTCTCTCTCACAATCAGGAAGTTCTTCCTCATGTTCAGGTGGAATCTCCTTTCCTGTACTTTGAAGCCATTGTTCCATTGTGTCCTAGTCTCCAGGGCAGCAGAAAACAAGCCTGCTCTCTCCTCCCTATGACTTCTCCTCACATCTTTATGCATGGTTATCATGTCTCCTCTCAGCCTTCTCTTCTTCAGGCTAAGCATGCCCAGCTCTTTAAGCCGCTCCTCATTGGGCTTGTTCTCTAGGCCCTTGATCATTTGAGTCGCCCTCCTCTGGACACATTCCAGCTTTGAGTCAACATCTCCCTTCTATTGCGGTGCCACAATGTAATTCCAGGTGTGGTCTCACCAAGAGAGGGGGAGCATGGCTTACCTGGATCTAGACATTATACTCCTATTTCTGCAGGTCAAAATCTCATTGGCTTTTTTTGCCACTGCATGACATTGTTGGCTCATGTTTAACTTGTTCCCCATGAGGACTCCCAGATCTTTTCCACCATTCTGTATCTTTGCATTTCATTTTTTCTACCTTAGCATATAGTAAGCTGTTATATATGGAATCCAGTCCTTTGGTCATCTACCTAAAGATTGTCCATACTGTTTGGTAATTCAGAATTTCAGAACAAAGTTTAGATAATCTGGCCTGGATCTTCTTAGAATTGAACCTGGGATATTAAAGGTGCAAAGCAAATATTTAGGTACTGTATTGTCGAAGGCTTTCATGGCTGGAATCACTGGTTGTAGGTTTTTCCGGGCTATATGGCCATGTTCTGGAGGCAATTTTTCTCCTGACGTTTCGCCTGCATCTATGGCAAGCATCCTCAGAGGTAGTGAGGTCTGTTCTAAACTCTATGTCTGTTCCAAGAGCTGGCTCAGTTTAATCAGCAGAACTTCCAGTGAGTAGATACGTATAAGATTTACAGTTAAAAGGCCATTTGTGGTTGAATAATTTGCATGGCAAAATAGAGTTGGACTGGATGGCATCTATAGGGAGACTGGAACATCCGTAGGGAGACCAAGGTGCTTGTTTACAAAGCTATTGTCCTCCAAAAGCTGCTATATGCCTGTGAAACATGGACTGTCAACAGATGTCACACTCAACTCCTGGAATGATTCCATCAGCGTTGCCTCCAAAAAATCCTGCAAATCTTTTGGGAAGACAGGCGGACAAATGTCAGCATGTTGGAAGAAGCAAAGATCACCAACATTGAAGCAATGCTCCTACGCCATCAACTCCGCTGGACTGGCCATGTTGTCTGAATGCCTGATCACTATCTCCCAAAACTGTTACTCTACTCCCAACTCAAGAATGGAAAACATAATGTTGGTGGACAGGAAAAGAGATTAAAAGATGTGCTTAAAGACAACCTTAAAAACAGTATCATAGGCACTGAGAACTGGGAAGCCCAGGCCCTTGAGCGCTCTGACTGGAGGTCAGATGTGACCAGCAGTGCTGCTGAATTTGAAGAGGCACGAATGGAAGGCGAAAGGGAGAAATGTGCCAAGAGGAAGGTGCATCAAGCCAATCCTGACTGGGTTGCCTTCCATCTGGAAACTGATGTCCTCACTGCGGGAGAACATGCAGATCAAGAATAGGGCTCCACAGCCACTTTACGGACCCACCGCCAAGACACTACACTTGGAGGCCCATCACCCTTGGGCTATGAGAGATTGCCTAAGTAAGTGGTGCCTCAATAAACTACAACTCAGTTCAATAGAATTCCAATTCTGGGCACCACAATTCAAGAGAGATATTGACAAGCTGGAATGTGTCCAGAGGAGAGCGACTAAAATGATCAAGGGTCTGGAGAACAAGCCCTATGAGGAGCGGCATAAGGAGCTGGGCATGTTTAGCCTGAAGAAGAGAAGGCTGAGAGGGGATATGATAGCCATGTATAAATATGTGAGAGGAAGCCACAGAGAGGAGGGAGCAAGCTTGTTTTCTGCTTCCTTGGAGACTAGGACATGGAACAATGGCTTCAAACTACAAGAGAGGAGATTCCATCTGAACATGAGGAAGAACTTCCTGACTGTGAGAGCCGTTCAGCAGTGGAACTCTCTACCCCGGAGTGTGGTGAAGGCTCCTTCTTTGGAAGCTTTTAAACAGAGGCTGGATGGCCATCTGTCAGGGGTGATTTGAATGCAATATTCCTGCTTCTTGGCAGGGGGTTGGACTGGATGGCCCATGAGGTCTCTTCCAACTCTTTGATTCTATGAGCCATGGCAGTAAAAGTGCTGTCAAACTGCATTCATTCTAGAGCAGAGGTGTCGGATTTGTTGTCCTTCAGCTGTTTGGGCCTCCAGTTTGTCCAATGGCTAGGAATTCAGGGAGCTGATGTTCAAAACACCTGGGGGGGGGGGGCACAAGTTTGACACCACTGTTCTAGAGTGTAAACACATCCCTTTAAACAGGGATCATGGGAAATGTAATCTGAAGGACCACATGATCCCCATCCCGGTGTATAGCTTGATCCTCATTTCCAGAGCTATGAATAAAGAAAGCACAATTAAAGCCTTGGCAGACCGTGCAAAAAGAATCTGCGAACCACACCTTCTCCAAGATGAACTGAACCACCTCAACTGGGCTCTACAGGCCAATGGAGACTCCACCTCAGACATCAGAAGAGCTGCAAGACCGAGAACAAGCCACAAGAGTAAAGATGAAGATCCACCCAGAGGAAAAGTGTTCCTGCCATACATCAAGGGAACCACTGACCGCAGAGGGAAGCTGATGAGGAAACACAACATACAAGCCATCTACAGACCCACCAAGAAAATCCAACAAATGCTACGTTCAGCAAAGGACAAGAGGGATCCTCTCACCTCTGCAGGAGTCTACCGTGTACCATGCAGCTGTGGACAAGTCTTCATAGGGACCACCAAATGCAGCAGCATTGCCCAAACACAAATCAAGGAACATGAAAGGCATTGCAGACTACTTCAACCAGAGAAGTCAGCCATAGCAGAGCACCTGATGAACCAACCTGGACACAGCATATTATTTGAGAACACAGAAATGCTGGACCACTCTCACAACCACCATGTCAGACTACACAGAGAAGCCACTGAAATCCACAAGCATGTGGACAATTTCAACAGAAAGGAAGAAACCATGAAAATGAACAAAATCTGGCTACCAGTATTAAAAAACTCTAAAATTGCAACAGCAAAACAACAGAGAGGAAACAACCAGGCACATCTTAACACCTCTCAACAGAACATTTTCCCAGGCTCAGCCAGGCCTTCAAATGCTAATGAAGGTGATCAGCTGAAACATTCACACCTAGCTCTTTGCCCCACCCCAGTCATTAAAAAACTCAAAAATTACAACAGCAAAACAACAGAGGGGAAACAAACAGGCACATAAAATCACTCTCAACAAAAGATTCCCCCCAGGCACTCCCAAGCCATTGAATGCTAATCAAGGTGATCAGCTGAAACATTCACACCTAGCCACAGCAGACAAAAGTCCTTTGTCTCACCCTGGTCATTCCACAGATATATAAACCCATTTTTCCTACTTCCAACAGACCTCATTACCTCTGAGGATGCTTGCCATAGATGCAGGCGAAACGTCAGGAGAAAAATTGCCTCCAGAACATGGCCATATAGCCTGGAAAAACCTACAACAACCCAATAAAGAAATCATTTAGAACATGCAGAATCCTCCTCTTAGGGAACGAACACAGGAGCCTGTTTCATGCGGATCTGCCTGAGCACAAATATCATTCAGGTATGCAAAGAGCTCATTTACATGATGTTCCATGCGTCTGGAAATGCCAGCCTTAATAATATCTTTTGCACAGAGGAGCCACATTGAAGTAGAAGAGAAACTCATTAAATAAATACATGTTAACCGCCCTCCTTGTAACTGATTAATTCACCGATGAGCTTCAAATGAAGGGTATGTTATCTAGAGGCAGGTGCTATTTTGAGATGCTCTCCAATAAAGGATACAGATTCTCTTGAATTAAATAAGGCAGGCAAATGCCTTTATTCCCTGGAGAACAAAGTCAATGTTGTTCGAATCAGAAGGGAGACGGAAGGTGCTTTGAGAATCAGCAGAGAGGAATCAAAAGAAAATAACCTGTGCCTTAAAGGCCTATCAGTCTAAGCGTGTTTCCTGAAAACTGAAAGAATTTACTTCTGAATAAACACATTTGGGAACTTGCTATTCAGTTGCATCACTTGAGAGAGAGAAGAGCAGGAGGAGAATCACAGAACCATAGAATCAAAGAGTTGGAAGAGACCTCATGGGCCATCCAGTCCAACCCCATTCTGCCAAGAAGCAGGAATATTGCATTCAAATCACCCCTGACAGATGGCCATCCAGCCTCTGTTTAAAAGCTTCCAA